CAGTCAATCCCTAGTCAACGCTTGGTGAAGACAGATGCAGACAACTGCAACACTAGCCCGATGATTTCGCCCTAGATGAACACAGCCTCAGTTTAACAGGAACTCTAAAATATAAATTCTTGTCATTTTTACATCATCACATTTTGGACTGTTTCGTTCTGCAAGAATTTGGTAGCCAGACTTAATGAATGATTTCCCTCATAACCTCTGTGTCCAGGTAGACATCCTATTGATGCTTTCTGGAAAGTAAAAAAGAAATTCTGGAAACGCGAAGCTGATGTCTGAAGTTGCAAAGGCAAGCACTTCCTTTACAGTATATTACATGAAGATTTCCCTCCAACTGCTGTTAGGAATCAATTTCCCAAAGATCTATAGACATCAACATCCATGATATCATTCGTCAGCTTTTTTTTTGAGGAGGGGCACCCCCCAACAGTTCTCATGACTCACTCATGGCTCTACACTCAGGGATCACTCTTGGCAGGCTCTGGGAACTACATGGGGTGCCAGGGATCAAACCAGGGCCAGCCACATGCAAGGCAAGCACCTTACCCACTGTACTATTGCTCCAGTCCCAGTATAAGCTTTTATACACCAAAAATAACTACCACGGGCTGGAGCCCAGCAGGGAAGGTGTTTGCCTCACACACAGCTAACCCTGGTTTGATCCACAGTCCCACATATGGGTCCCTGAGCACTGTCAGGCGTGATGCCTGAGCATAGAGTTGGAAGAATGTCCTGAGCTTTGTACTGGTGGGTGTGGTCCAAGGAAAGAAGAAAGGAAGGGAGGGAGGGAGGGAGGGAGGGAGAGAGGGAGGGAGGACAGAGGGAGGAAATGCCACCACCACAAAAAGCCTCACAGAAAATCACTTATAAAAAGTTTCCTTCCCAGGGGGCTGGAGTGACAGCACAGCGGGTAGGGTGTTTGCCTTGCACGCAGCTGACCTGAGTTCGATTCCCAGCATTCCATATGGTCCCCAGAGCACCTCCAGGAGTAATTCCTGAGTGCATGAGCCAGGAATAACCCCTGTGCATCACCGGCTGTGACCCAAAAAGCAGGAAAAAAAAAGAAAGTTTTCTTCCCATGTTGATATAAACGTCCAGTGAGACTTTTTAGCATACCGCTAATGGTTTCCGGAGATGAGTCACTTTAGCAACTCTTAAGTAACGCAGGGCATCTTCAACTAGGTGACTTTTTCTGACACTGAGATCAAAACTGTCACGTGGAACTGGAGGGGACTCCAAATTTTTGTGAAAACACTGCCTTTCTAGCTGCACTGTCTCCTGTAAGAAAAAATGTAGTTTGGGAATTCTTATGGGAATGCTAAAAAGTATTGAGTATCTCAAACAAGCATATTTTGTAGAGGATGTACTCATGCCCACCATTACTTAAGGAAAAGAGAACCCAACCTGTGGAAAATTAGAAATACAGAATCCGAGAAACGACACTTTTAGCTTGGCCCCCATGGACATGCAGAAAGGTAACAGAAAGATTCTCAGGCCAGGGCCGTGTCTCAGGACCAGAGCTCATACTCAGCCCTAGCACACACCCAGAATCCCTGCTCCCACCCCCACCCCCCACCCCCCCGCAGAAGCTGTCCTGATTTCACAAAAGCATGATTTCCACAGACACTGTAATTTATACAAGGACTAACAGTCGTATTTTAGGTCTCTAATATTTTAGTAATATTTCAGGCCTCTACTGTTGCTTGTAAGCTGGAGCGATAGCACAGCGGGTAGGGTGTTCGCCTTGCATGTGGAGGACCCGGGTTTGATTCCTCCGCCCCCTCAGAGAGCCCAGCAAGCGACTAAGAGTATTTCACCTGCACAGCAGAGCCTGGCAAGTTCCCCACGGCATATTCGATATGCCAAACACAGTAACAACAAGTCTCACAGTGGAGACGTTCCTGGTGCCCGCACGAGCAAATCGATGAACAACAGAGGACAGTGCTACAGTGCTCCCCTCCCCATACGGTCCCCCAGAACTGCCAGGAATGATCCCTGAGCACAGCAAAACCAAACCAAAGAGTCAGACAGGACCTTCCTTCTCCGGCCCATCATGCCCCATTCTGGGCTGCGGGGAGGTGGGTGACCCGAGCTCGGCAGGGCTGGAGGGGCTCAATGCAAGGGCCATGGGGAACCCCTGGGGAGTGGGGGTCCCCGGCCACCCAGGTGGGGGGTTCTGCTTTCTGGATGCACGCATTTGATTGGGCACCGCTGACTGTGCCCTCCCTCTCCCGCAGAAACAGTTCTGGAGTTCGTGCTCATACTCCCCTGGGTGGATTTACCCCCGAGAGCCTTCTGGTCCTCAGAGCTACCACGAACCCTGACCTACCCCGTCCCACCCAACTTCCATTCCCAGCAAGCTGGAGACTGGGGCCTTGCTGAGAGAAAGGGGTGTGCAAGTCAGGCTGGGAAGGGAAGATCGATCTAGCTCCTCCCCTCCTTACAGAGTTAGGGAAACCCAAAACAAGCCGACAGGAGGCTGGAGAGACAGCTT